CCCATCGGGATCCGTATTCGGTTTCCCCATCGGGATTCGTATTCGGTTTCCCCATCGGGATTCGTATTCGGTTTCCCCATCGGAATCCGTCTACGAAATCCCCATCGGGATCCGTCTACGGAATCCCCATCGGGATCCGTATTCGGTTTCCCCATCGGGATCCGTATTCGATTTCCCCATCGGGATCCGTCTACGGAATCCCTATTGGGATGCGTATTCGGTTTCCCCATCGGGATCCGTATTCGGTTTGCCCATCGGGATCCGTATTCGGTTTCCCCATCGGGATCCGTCTACGAAATCCCCATCGGGATCCGTCTACGGAATCCCCATCGGGATGCGTATTCGGTTTCCCCATCGGGATCCGTATTCGGTTTCCCCATCGGGATTCGTATTCGGTTTCCCCATCGGAATCCGTCTACGAAATCCCCATCGGGATCCGTCTACGGAATCCCCATCGGGATCCGTATTCGGTTTCCCCATCGGGATCCGTATTCGATTTCCCCATCGGGATCCGTCTACGGAATCCCTATTGGGATGCGTATTCGGTTTCCCCATCGGGATCCGTATTCGGTTTGCCCATCGGGATCCGTATTCGGTTTCCCCATCGGGATCCGTCTACGAAATCCCCATCGGGATCCGTCTACGGAATCCCCATCGGGATGCGTATTCGGTTTGCCCATCGGGATCCGTATTCGGTTTCCCCATCGGAATCCGTCTACGAAATCCCCATCGGGATCCGTCTACGGAATCCCCATCGGGACCCGTATTCGGTTTCCCCATCGGGATCTGTCGATGGAACCCGTCATCGGGATCCGTCTACGGAACCCGTCATCGGGATCCGTCTACGGAACCCGTCATCGGGATCCGCCTACGGAACCCGTCATTTTCCACTTTATTTTAGCTTTTAGTAGGGGTAAGAGGGGCATAGTGAACAGGTGGGGCATAGTGAGCATCCAGCTTGAACTTCCGGCTGTTCGGAAAAAAAAATTGTTGGTGGTAGGATCAATATCATAATGATATTGAACCTACTACCAGTTGATTTGTTTCATGCAGCTGGAGATCCAAAGCCAAACTGCGGGATGCTCACTATGCCCCTCTTCCCCCTATTTATTTATTTATTTGTCAATCAAATAAAAAACAAAACAATAAACACATTCACTAACCTGCAAAGAGATCCGGCTTCGAATTCCCCGCCGGGATCCAGCTTCGGACTCCCTACCGGGATCCGGCTTCGCACTGGTGCACTTTCCTAAAAAAAACATAATTACAGTACATTAATTTAAAATTTTAAATTTTACTTACCTGAAAAACAGCCTTCCTTTTCCAAGGGCGATCGCGGGACTCGCAATCTTCGAAACTGGCGGGGGTCCAGGTGTGGGAGCTGCCTTCCTGGCACGTCGGTAGCATTGGTGGTCAGCACGGAAAACAAGATCGACGGAAAAAACAAACCAAAGGATTTGCCGCAACGCCGGACACCGAATCGCCACCAAAACTCGCGACGGACACCGCGAAAAAAAAACTGTACACGGCCAATGTGATCAACCCAAATTTGAATACAGTGTACTCAAAATCGCAAAAAATGCAGGAACGCAGCGATGAGTAAATTTGCCTCGAGATTTGCCTCATGTTTTCCGGTGGAAAACTTCAAAAATCTTCCGGAAAATTAGGATTGACGAAAATCCACAGAATCCAATCTTTACTTTTCTTATATTCGGAAAAATTTTACTGGAAAAACCTGGAAAACCTGGAAAAACAGAGGTAAATTAACTCAAAACTGAGTTCCTGTACTTTTTACAACAATTTACATCGTGATGAAGTTTGATTCTAATGTAACGTTAGGTTCTGTTGTCATTGGATGTATTCTGATGTTTTATGCGTGCAACAAATTACATCGTGATGAAGTTTGATTCTAATGTAACGTTAGGTTCTGTTGTAATTGGATGTATTCTGATGTTTTATGCGTGCAACAAATTACATCGTGATGAAGTTTGATTCTTATGTAACGTTTGGTTCTGTTGTCATTGGATGTATTCTGATGTTTTATGCGTGCAACAAATTACATCGTGATGAAGTTTGATTCTAATGTAACGTTAGGTTCTGTTGTAATTGGATGTATTCTGATGTTTTATGCGTGCAACAAATTACATCGTGATGAAGTTTGATTCTTATGTAACGTTAGGTTCTGTTGTAATTGGATGTATTCTGATGTTTTATGCGTGCAACAAATTACATCGTGATGAAGTTTGATTCTTATGTAACGTTTGGTTCTGTTGTCATTGGATGTATTCTGATGTCAAATTTTACATCGTCAAGACGTTTGATTCTGATGTAACGTTTGAGGCTAATGTATTTTTATGTACTTGGATGTCACACTGAAGTCTGAATACATTAAGGGTACAGCAATACACATTAAAATTTAATGTATTGAAGATGTCTGCTGATGTTTCCTACATTACAATTTCTATTCGGGAAACCTGTTCAACTGAGTTGCTGCGATACAAGTTTTCATTTTGACAACGATATTCATTATTGAGCAACGCGAGTAACTCAGAGTTACTCAAGATTTGCACGAAAATTACTCATGATTGAAAGCTGTCTTGCCCCTAGCCTTAAAATTTGTCTTGATCGGCTGTAAAAAATCGAAATTAAATGATAGACTAAATCCGAACGATCGTGGACTGCACAAAATAGTACTGAACAGAAATCAAAACAAATTGGACGAATCGAATGTATACATTTCGAGAAATTTTTGGCACCAGTTTTGAAAATATGATTCCGAGATAATAGCGTTTAAAGTTTCAAGTTGGGTTTAGTCGAAGACAACAAATCAAGAAGACTGGCAACTTTGCCAGAATCCAAGCGACAGATACAGTAGCGCTGCACTTGAGTGAAGGAGGAAGCAACGCATAGAAAAATAAGCAAATACACAAACCTTTCTTCTGAGGATGTAATCTTTGCTATCAAATTTGTTCGAAGCAGTTACCTTTGAGCGGCAGATGACGCGATTGTACCTGTCTCATAGCGTTTGTATGAGAAAATGGAAGAGTTGCCAGTCTTCTTGATTTGTTGTTGTGAATATTTTTGTACGTCGGATAACTTTCACAATTTTCATCGGATCAACTTGATCTTTTGAGGAAATATTCTTGACTTTATATACTTTCGATTAGGACAATAAAAAAATCGATTTTTTGGAAATTTTGCAGGTAGGCGTAACCCCTTAAACTAAAAGAACAACATTTGCGGTGAATATTTTCGTAGTTAATATTATCTGTTTCTTTGGTAACAAAACACGCTGAAAACGACGCAGAAATCGTTGCCATAGGAATTTGTAAGGCGATGATTTCTGCGTCGTTTTCGGCGTGTTTTGTTACCAAAGAAACAGATAATATCACGAAATTCGGGAAACTTTTAAATTAAAAATGTGATATTTTTACTAAAACAATTTTTATTTTTTGTGTGGCAGTGGCAATTACATTAACAAGATTTTTTCGGATCCACTACAACACTGGACGTGAACTGCAAATGTGATCCCTCACACTAACACCACACAGCAAAAAAAGTTGTTGAATATTACATCGAAACTGCTGCAACCAGGTCAATCCATCGGTTTTGTAATATCACATTGTACGATGTACATCGATTTTGCGAACAAAATAACATCCATTGATGTAATATTGTATCTGCATTTTGCTATTACATCATTATTTCATACATCAGCTTGAATTACGTTGATCGATATTACATTTTTTTTTGCTGTGCACAAACGAAGTGACAGACGACTAACTGGCGAAGAAATCCATTAAAATAATGTGGTTCACTGTAATAGAATTTTCTTGGAAGCTTGTGCCATCATCCACCAGATGGGTTAGTTTTTTTGTTTTGATTTGAACAAAGTTGATTTTGAGTACAATGATTCTTTGACAGTGTGCAAAGAGTGCGTATCATTTTGTCATTTTTTATGCATTTCAGTTTTGAGTAGAGTGAAAGAGATAGAACCAAAACATTCTAGTACATTTGGTGAAAATGCTAGTTCAATCTAGTAGTAGTGTTGCCATGTGGTACAATCCAGCAGTAGTGGTGTTGCCATGTGGTACACTGAAAAATTGCAATAGCAGGTTAGTCACCAAAGTTTTCGAGCCGCTCCGTCTGTCACTTCGTTTGTGCTAACACTCGGGCCACCCTGACTCCCCCTAATAAATAAATACCATAAAAGAACTGTATCCCGGATGGGTAAACTATCCCACAAATGGTTTGGATGATACCCCGAACACGTCGTTAAGCTTTCTTTTATGGTTATTTTTATTAGGGCCGGTATGAATTTTTCGCTGTTATGGTCTCCAAATAATATTCGTCGTTACAATTATCGCCGATTTCGTGTGTTTAACTTATATCTCCGAGGTAATCGCGTCTCACATTTCAGTAAAGCCAACCACCCCTATTCTGTATTTCGTTTCGAACGAAATTCTCATACAAAAAAAACCCAAAACGACCCAATCATAAAGGGCTCCAGAGTGGTGCTACACAGAAACAAAATCCATTAGCAAAATTACTATATTGATGGTTAAATTAAATACTCGCACCAATAGATTTGTGCAGAAACGAAATTCATTTAATTTTACTTATTTTTCTATCAAAACTACTATGCCGTTTGAGGAAGCATAGTAGTTTTGACAGAGTGGTATTAAATTTGTTTATATTTATAGTCAGCTATACTGAAATCATGGTAGATTTAACGGCATTAAGCACAGTTATACTGAAAATAAGTGTTTTCTGCAAAATAGTATTCCTAACTATGGTCTTTGTTTCAGTGTATATATCACCGTTATTTCTAAGCCTTTACATTCCTACCCCTACCCATTTGAAAAACGTTATGCGTTACCTGCCATAATTGACATTTCGGTTTTTTTGTTTGCTTCTTTTTGTGTTTTTGTTCGCTCATTTTCATCTTCCATTTTTATTTACAATCAGTTGCCTCTCTCTCCGCTTTCGCTTGTGCTTGAATCTGATCGAGTTTGTGGGCTTCCCGAGAAAAAAAAGCATCGAATAGAGCTCTTCTTCACCTTCTTGGTAGGAGGCCATCGAAATCGAACTGAAAATCATTATCGAACGTGTCTATTTGTTTAGTGATCAACAGAAAAGAAGCAAGAACCAATTCTGTTTAATTTTCTCTCGTTTCGGCTAAAGATTTTAAAGTAAACAAGCGATTGAGCATTGTTATTTGTTGTATAATTTTCAACCTATAAACAAAATCCATAGCGTCCCTGCCATTGTTGAAAGGATTGAATTTGATCTCAATACGCGAAGCAGCGCGAAACGGTTGTTATTCCATTGCTAAGTTGTGATTTTAGTGGGAAATCGATTACTAAAATGATCACTAGAAGAAAGTCGGTGCATGATTCGCAGTTAGTGCAACAGCAAAAACATCAGAAGGAGGATAATGCTAACCAGTCTCGATCGGCAGTGCCGGATGGCAGGAAAACTCCAGGACCAAGTGGGTATTTTCTAATGCTTAAGTATTGAGTTTGTCACGAACGAATGTAATTTTTTTTTTCAGGGACCTCACAGCCAAGAAAGAACGCCCGTATCGCTCATCGGAGAATCTCGGAGGCAGCTCCAGGGATGCTGCAGAATGGTGCTCAGCAGGCTCATGGGGTTCAGAACGGATTGGACGCCGATGATATACCCAAGTTCAAGGGGTACCGCATAATAGAAATAGATCACTTTCTTCAGTGGGCAGCATATTCTCAGTTTATGCACTCGAAGCACTGTCCGGGAGGTTTACTGAAGCCCTACCAGGAGTACGTGAGCGGATGCTATTCCACGTTCGCCATGAAGTGCAGCAAATGTTCGGCTATTATAACGAGATCATCGGAAAACTACATTCATCATAATAAGCTGATGAATCGCCTGGTGAAGGGGACGATTCAAATGGGAAAAGATTACGACGAAATGAGCAATTTTATGGAATCGCTGGAAATTCCGTTTGTCACACGGGAAGAATTCAATACGATAAAGTCGCAGATGCAGCTGAACTCGTCGCTAGAGGACCAATCAGCATTGCAAAAAGCGGTGGAAGAACTGGAACGAGATTCGGTTGCTTCGAAGAGAAAGCGCCATGGCAGCTGCAAGTACCACTATGAGGTGTTGAAAGTTTATCTGAATAAAAAGATGCGCAAAATTGAGGAAAATCTACAGCTCTCTGTGAACGACTCCGTAGCTTTGGCAGTCAATGCCCACCTGAAGAATGTGGCGCACGTTCAATTGGTGTAAGTATTGGTCAGAACTTTAATGTTCCGTCTTAGGATTTATCTAACGAAATCAACTTACAGCTCAGACAGTCCCAACAGTTCGAGTCCTAGTGGAAGTAATGTTGCCAGTGCAACCAGCCAAAGCAATCGATTCGGTGCTGGATTTTCCAATGGACCACCCGCTTCCAAAGGCAATACGTTCAATAATTACTAAAGAAGCCATTAATCTGCAATGTACGATCTGATGTACATATCATCAGCCGAAAGCATGAAGTCGTGGATATTTCGAATCAAAAATATTCGAAACTTTTATATCTGCGACATTCAAGTGGAGCGAATTCCACTTCGATCTTTATCAACATAATAGCATCCGGTCTCGATCGTTCTACTGCTTAGTTATTAGAAGAAAAAACAAACAAATGATCTTTGAAGTGTCGTAAGCAAATAACCATACACCTTGCCACCCACCCGTTTCCGAGTAATTTGAGAAAACGCAACACCGTAGTAGTATTCGTCTAGTTCTGGTGATAATCAACTATTCCAGCTAATTTCTGTTTCACGATTCCTCAGGATATGTTTTCCAAAAAAAATGTGTATAGGATGTTAGTAAGCAAACTTGACTAGATTTTAGATTACGTGTCATTGTAAGGTATTATAGTTGCACCGCATTTATTTTCCATGCATGTCTTCAGGTTTATATTTTTTTTTATTTACGTTAGCTGTGAATTAGGCAGAATCAATAAAATTTAAATTTACGAGAAGAACGCAATGACAATTAATCCGAAAGTCAAAGCCCTTTAAGGGAACATGCATAAATGACGTAGCTTATGTTTACCAGCATATTTTGTTATACCTAAAACGCTGTCCAGACTGGAGAGTTATAACATGTCATAACGGTTGTCAACTAATTGCAACACAGAAACCACCATCAAGATAGCGCTATAACATGTTATAGCTCTGTAGTCTGAACGTACTATAATACACGGCCGGTCACAACATTTGAAACCTCTCCTTCTGCGTTGATTTTCCTTCAGATTTCACTGCTGTTCTTCGCGAGGGGGGCGACACATCTAAATCTCAATTTTAGATACTCAAAAAATCTCACACTAGTGAATCAATCTTCGAAAAATCTTCTTGCATTTCTCGCATCTACTTGCATCACGCATCATCTTTTTGCAGGAATCTTCAGAATCGTCATCAATCTTCTTTCTATCTACTCAGCGTGCGAGCAGCTAGCAACAACACAAAACAATCTTTCCTGCAGCTTAGATAGAGTCGTCCCCCTCGGTTCTTCGTGGTGACATCTAACAGAAATAACATAACGCATATATGTGAGTAAAACGCTGTCCAGACTGGAGAGTTATAACATGTTATAACGGTTGTCAAATAATTGCAACACAGAAACCACCATCAAGATAGCGCTATAACATGTTATAAAGGCCGGCGCACAATAGATACGTTTTCGGGTTTTTTGACAGTTAGCCCATGCATTATCTGTCAAAAAACCCGAAAACGTATCTATTGTGCGTCGATCGCAGGTGCTATTATGTTTTTTGTAGACAGCCAATTTGTTCACCCTTGAGAGGTGGGATCTGCGACAAATCAGCGGATACAGACATCTAACCAAGGCAGAACACTTAACTACAGTTTTCTCTACATGCGAACGGAAAATCAGCTTACGCGCAGCTAGCCACAGCAAAACACATTATTTTCTGCATCGTAGATAGAGTCGTCCCCTTCGGTGCCATCCATGATTACAGTACAATAAGAGTGAGCTGGTTTTAGGTTGGGCGATTGCCGATGGAGGAACATGATTGATTGTGCTTTGGAGGCATTGATTTTGATTTTCCACGTGGTGGCATAATCAGCAAAGGCTTATTTGTTATTTTGCGAGGCATCCTACCCTTGACAGCTGATGCGGTATCATTTGCGAACAGGAAGAACATGCAACCGTCCCCGAGGGGAGGAATGTCGGAAGTGTAGATGCTGTAAAGCAAGGGTCCCAGCAGACTGCCTTGCGGGACTCCTGCTGGGATGGAAAACGTGTCTGAAAGACAACCATTCAACGGTACCCTAAACGACCTTTACTGGAGATAATTACGGGTGATTTAAACCAGATGTGATGGGAAGTTGGATGGTATAATTTTTGCTACCTTCCAGAAAGTAGTGCAGCTCCAAGCATCTGTTGAAGATAGCGGCCAAAAGAGAGAGCACTTTCATGCTGAGTCTCTTCAAGACAAGGGGTTGGTCACTCCACACAGTGTGCCAAAATTAAAATTGGGCACACCCGGGAACACTCTTTTGCACTCATGAATACATCATCTGATCTTTAAAGTTACTGGCAACACTGATATAATATTGCGCCTGCGCAGTCCGAATGTGTCAAAATTTGCCAATGTTGTTATCACAATCCAATTTTTACAAACCATAACCGTGAAACTCCACCAAGTCCCACCATGGATTCTCCAAAATCGAATTGGATTCCTCAAAATTGTCAGCGCGCATCCTAATACCTGTCCGAAGCTATCATACCGCGTGAGACTGCATTCACTCATTCCGATCACCCAGCATGAACAAATCAGGTCAATCACGATACAGCAGCGCTGAAAATCATCACAATCGCATGCATAACAACACCCCTCCCTCAGCCTCAATCAATCCCAACACCTCGCCCAACACTACCGGTTGTGATATGCCTCAATAACCCTTCCGGGTTCATGATATCCTTTAAAACCGTAATCAAAATCGATAACAGACTCCCGAGTTCCGTCCACTTTTTCTTTGGGCTCTATCCGTTCATTAGATGTACAGAACAGCAGACAGTGAAGTCAACGGCCAGCCCGTATTTGATTCCAATGTTCAAAAGTGGAAAAAAAAATACCGTGGAGTTGCTATATTGTGAGTGAAGGTGGAAGCAACGCATAGAAAAATGAGCAAATACACAAACCCTTCGTCTGAGGATGTAATCTTTGGTATCAAATTCGTTCGAAGCATTTACCTTTGAGCGGCAGATGACGCGATTGTACCTGTCTCATAGAGTTCGTATGAGAAAATGGAAAAGTTGCCAGTCTTCTTGATTTGTTGTCTTCGGTTTTAGTCAACATTTATTAAAGTGGATTCAGTCATACAACAAACGAAGTTACAGACGACAAACTGGCGAAGAAATCCATTAAAATAATGTGGTTCACTGTAATAGAATTTTCTTGGAGGCTTGTGCCATCATCCACCAGATGGGTTAGTTTTTTTGTTTTGATTTGAACAAAGTTGATTTTGTGTACAATGATTCTTTGACAGTGTGCAAAGGGTGCGTATCATTTTTTAATTTTTTTATGCATTTCAGAGTGAAAGAGATAGAACCAAAATATTCTAGTACATTTGGTGAAAATGCTAGTTCAATCCATTAGTAGTGTTGCCATGTGGTACAATCCAGTAGTAGTGGTGTTGCCATGTGGTACACTGAAAAATTGAAATAGCAGGTTAGTCACCAAAGTTTTCGAGCCGCTCCGTCTGTCACTTCGTTTGTGCCTGCTATTTCTGTCACCAATTCACCTTATCATTACTACAAAATCCAGTAACATCTACTTGCTAATTTCCGTAGCTGTTGAGTGATGCCAATTTGAAGATTATCGGAAAGTCCGATAAAATTTTCGTGAAAATCAATTGATTTCTATGTGAATTACTCAAATGTAATCTCTCCCCCAAAAATACGTAATATTCACCTGAAAAGCATGCTTGGCATCCACAGTTTTCGTCACGAACTGCTCATTTGCTAATAACTTGTTAACTAATGTATGTAAGAAAAAGTAGATTTTAATTCTAGTAATAAACTGTATTTGTTTTTGCGTTGTAAAAATCAAGTGAGAAATGCTCACTGCACATCTCGGACTTTATTAGTAAAATTTTTTTGCTGTTGATTCAAATGTTAAGATTTACCTACTCTTTGCATATCTATTGTAAGCTATGATCCTTATCTATCAATTACTTTAAAGAAAATCAATTTTCAATAACTGAGTGAAAAGATATTAACAAATGAGCAGTTGGTGTGTACAACTGTGCATGTCAAGCATGCTGAAAAGTATGATGGAAAATATAAACGTGCCTATTCATTTGAATTTTATATAACTTTTAGTTGCAGTGTAACTTTCAAGATCTCCATGTAAAACAGCCAGAATATTGGGTCTAGAGTTTTTTTTAGAAATCTCTGAAAATTTATGATAGGTCCTGTGATAGGTCTATGACAATTTCAAGATAAAAATAAATAAAATATTAGATTTCGTGAACAGTAAACGTTTCCATATGTTCGCAACTCTTCTGGTCAGACTTTACTCTGAGTTTTTAAAGCCAAATTATTTATTCACATTTTTTTTTATCCCCATAGGATTGCAATGATCGGGGTTGATGAGAAAAATTTTCAAGTGACTACGATACCGGACGGATTAGTCTCTGGTGACCAATTAAACACCGGATTCACGATATTGATTAATCATAATCTTCTTGAAAATCTTTATGTCTCGGTAATCGCTGGTCTGTCTTTGTCTATGTCTTCTTCTCATTCGTACGTCAGTTTTAATGTCTGGATGTTTTCTTGTCTAATGTCATGATGTGTTTGTGTATCAGGGTATGTATGTGGGTGTGTGTGTGTGTTTGCACCAAATGATTATATTTCTTCCTCATCTCCTAGTTTTAACTGCGTTCAAGAATAATTGACTAAAAAAAATGATTATAAAAAATAAAAAATAAAACAAACAAACGAAAAACGTTGCAAAAGTTCATACCATAACATATCTAACTTACTATCCACATTTTTTGACTAATACCTGTTACGGCTAATGCCGTTGCGTTATCTTGATAAACTTAAAGACTACTTGAATTCGTCGATACCTACACTAGCACTAGTTAAATTATTAATTAGATAAACATAAGCTAAACAATTATATCTATCATGCAAATTAATTCAGTTCTACTATTATTACTTAAACTACGGCCACTATGAGCAGTGAACCCAAAATTGAAACAGGTCTAATTAATTTCCTTATATACTGGAAGAAAACAACTGATAGGAGCGAAAAGCGATAACACGATACATACAGTTCACAAACAACGATAGCCGATTACAAAGAATGTATATAATTAGGGATAGCAAAAGGTGGATCGTACGTAGGAGACGGATCAGTTACGATCAACACCTCGTAAAATAAACGTGTCAGACAGAAAACGTCGTTCTGTACGCGGTCCGAAATTTCCCCTCTTGTTCGTCGGTTTAACTAGTTTTTCGCTAGTCCAGTTTTTCCAGTGGGAAGGTCCCAGTTTTTTCTTGAGTACTCGATCATTCTCGGTTGTGCGGAATCCTGTGTGCCTCAACCTAGTCCTTAGTGAGAAGGAAGGTGAGCAAAGGTCAGTGATTTCGGTGTAGAAGACACCGCCGCGTGTGTTGGAACAGTGGTGATTCCCGTTAAACTTCGTTGATACGAATTTTCGTGCCAGTGTGGCAAACCTTCTGGGCCCAGAGGCCAACAGTGCTGTTAAGCAAGCCTTCGTATCGGCATTCCGGGTGTACCGCCCGAACAATACCTAAATGTAATTTTTAATTTTATGACGATAAGTTGCTCTACTACTACTACTACTACTACTACTACTACTAAAATCTCAAAAAGATATTCTCACAAATGTATTAAACGCAACCAGGAATCTGAAAACCATTAGACTCTATAATAATACCCTGCACATGCTAGACACAAGAAGAGGCCAAAAGGCAAGC